TGTGTTTTCTCATTACCAACAGAGAGATGAAGAAGGTTAAGAAACTTTCCTCACAAAAGCTCTTCTATATAGGAATTTCTCTAACGCCAGGGTTCTCCACCTTAGCACTACTGAGATTTAAGGCTGGATAATTCTTGGTTGTGAGGGGAGATATCTTATCTTTATGCATTTTAGAATGTTCAGCAGTGTCCCTGCCATCTTAACTCACTAGACACCAATAGTACCTTTCCAATTGTGACAACCAAAAATGTCTCCTGCCAAACGCTCCCTGTGCAGCAAAATCACAGCTGGTGAGAACCACTACGTTACTTGTGCGTACACAGAAGTGGAACTGCCTGGTTCAAGTTAAAGTCTTTTTTTTTTTTTTTTTTTTTTTGAGACAGTCTTGCTCTGTCACCCAGGCTAGAGTGCAGTGGTGGGATCTCGGCTCACTGCATGCCTCTGCTCTCCCAGGCTCATGCCATTCTCCTGCCAGCCTCCGAGTAGCTGGGACTATAGGGCCGCCACACGCCCCCAGCTAATTTTTTTTTTTTTTTGTATTTTTTAGTAGAGACGGGTTTTGCCGTGTTTAGCCAGGATGATCTTGATCTCCTGACCTAGTGATCCACCCGCCTTGGCCCCCCAAAGTGCTGGGATTACAGCGTGGAGACACCGCACCCCCCTCAAGTTAAAGTCTTAAGATATTCTTACTTGCCGGGCGCGGGTGGGCTCAAGCTGTGGAATCCCAGCACTTTGGGGAGGCCAAGACGGGCGGATCACGAGGTCAGGAGATCGAGACCATCCTGGCTGACACGGTGAAACCCCGTCTCTACTTAAAAAATACAGAAAACTACCGGGCGAGGTGGCAGGCGGCCTGTAGTCCCAGCTACTCGGGAGGCTGAGGCAGGAAAAATGGCGTGAACCCGGAGGCGGAGCGCTTGCAGTGAGCTGAGATCCGGCCACTGCACTCCAGCCTGGGCGGCAGAGCGGAACTCCGTCTCAAAAAAAAAAAAAAAAAAAAAAAAAAAAAGATATTCTTACTTGTACAGGTTTTAGACAGGATTTTTTTTTTTTTTTTTTAACTGTAAGCTCCTGGTGTGGAATGACCTTGGCCTATACTGACTAACACTGGTTCTATAGTACCAGTAGACACTAGAGAGAACATTGAGATTTCAGTTTGAGAATGGGTTGGAGACTGCTGTATGGATGTCTGTATCCTTAACCTCCCAACCATACTAGACCTCTTTCCCTGAATAGATTTTCTGAATTTGGGCATCTGTCTTTTATTATTATTATTATTATCATCATTATTTGAGGCAGGGTCTTGCTGTGTCACCCAGACTGGAGTGCAGTGGCACGATCATGGCTCACTGCAGACTTGACCTCTTGTGCTTAAACAATCCTTCCACCTCAGCCTATTGAGTAGCCGGGGCCACTGGTGTGTACAGCTCACTATGCCTGGCTAATTTTAAAAAACTTTTTACCTGGGTATGGTAGTTCACGCCTGTAATCCCAGCACTTTGGGAGTCTGAGGTGGGGGGATCACGAGGTCAGGAGTTTAAGACCAGTCTGGTCAGCATGGTGAAACTCTATTTCTACTATAAAGTAAAATACAAAAAAATTGGCTGGGCATGGTGTGGTGTGCCTGTGGTCTCAGCTACTCGGGAGGCTGAGGCAGGAGAATTGCTTAAACTCGGAAGGCAGAGGTTGCAGTGAGCTGAGGTCACACCACTGCACTCCAGCCTTGGTGACAGAGTGAGACTCTGTCTCAAGAAAAAAAGAAAAAAATTTTTTTTTCTTTTGAAGCAGGGTCTTTTTCCGTTACCCAGGCTGGAGTGCAGTAGTACAATCACCGCTCACTGCAGTCCCGACCTTTTAGGCTTAAACAATCCTCCCAGCTTAGCCTCCCAAGTAGCTGGGACCACAGGCACGTGCCACCATGCCCGGCTAATTTAAGAAGCTTTTGTATAGGTCCTGTCTCCCTATATTGCCCAGGCTGGTCTCAAACTCTTAGGCTCAAGCAGTCATCCTGTTTCAGCCTCCCAAAGTGTTGGGATTACAGGCATGAGCCCCTGCATGCAGCCTTAATTTTTTTTTGTAGAGATGGGGTCTTGCTATGTTGCCCTTGCTGGTCTCAAACTCCTGAGCCCAAGCGATCCTCCTGCCTCAGCTTCCTAAAATACTGGAATTATAGGGATGAACCATGGCATCTGGCTGGGCAACTGTCTTTTAAGGTGGAGTAGATGAAAGAGAGAGAGCATGGGGGTTTTATTATTTTTTTAATTTTTGGTTTGAGAGAGGGTCTCACTCTGTCACCCAGGCTGGAGTGCAATGGCGTGATCTCGGCTCACTGCAATGTCCACATCCTGGGCTCAAATGATCCTCTTGCCTCAGCCTCCCAAGTAGCTGGACTACAGGCATGCACCATCATGCCTGCCTAATTTTTGTATTTTTTTGTAGAAACTGGGTTTCAACATGTTGCCCAGGCTGGTCTCGAACTCCTGGACTCAAGTGATCCATCCTCCTCAGCCTCCCAAAACACTGGAATTATAGGTGTAAACCAGTGTGCCTGGCCTTAATGTTCTGATATAATACTTAGAATGTAGGATACCCTCAATAAATATTTTTGAGTGAATCTTTGGGAAGAATGAAGATGAGGTTTAAGGGGAAAGGCAGCTGAGCTCTCTCATTCCTCTGCCTTTGAATTAAATCACTGAATTCAACACTACTGTGAGGAGGTGGAAAAGGACTAGGAACATTGTGGAATGAGTCAAAGTTTGAAATGTCACTCTAACCTTCTCTTCTGGTAGGACTCAACAGTAGCCTTCCTTGAGGACCTGCCTTTCCCATTTGCTGCCTGAAGTTAATGTTTCTTGCTGGCCAAATCAGGGACATACAGGCATTGTAAGGGCTGATTATCTGATCCTCTTACTAATTTACTGGTTGGGGTGGGGTGAGCAGGGAGGAAAAGGGATACCTTGGTTTTTCTTTTATGGCTCTTTTAGCATCTCAAGTCATAGCCCATATGCCTCCTTTCTTGTTGATCCTTCTTCCTATAGCTTTGTTTTGTTTCCCCTTATAGTTCCCTCTTATGCTTTTCATCTCCATCCCCATCCCCACCCACTGCCAGGGGGCTTGGGTTCTGAGCTGATGGGGTACCCCCCTCTGCAGAGCGGGATGAGTGGGTGTTCCGGCAGGGATGTGGTCATTGACGGCCAGTGAGGGCGAGAGTACCACTGCCCACTTCTTCCTTGGAGCTGGAGATGAGGGGCTGGGCACCCGTGGAATAGGCATGAGGCCAGAAGAGAGTGACAGCGAGCTCCTTGAGGACGAGGAGGATGAAGTGGTAAGAATGGGGAAAATGATATAACTTGGTGTTGGAGTCTCTGTCCTCGAGAATTAAGATTCTATTGGTTGGAGATACCTCTCTGTTCTTTCCAAATGCATAGACTCCCTGTCATAAACAGGCCCTATCCTGGTTTAGGGGAGGGGCAGTAGAGATTGGTTAGGTTGCCTCTCTTAGAAACCCCTGCCCTGGCCGGGTGTGGGTAATCCCAACACTTTGGGAGGCCAAGGCAGCTGGATCATTTCGCCGACGGTCAGCAACCCCGCGAGTCCTCGAACACAGCACGTGTCAACATCGGTAGAACAAACCTGCGTCTCCTGATCTAAAAATACAAAAATTAGTGGGATGAGTGGAGTCCTGTAATCCCAAGGCTACTCGGGGAGGTGAGTCAGAGAGAATCACATTGAAGCCAGTGTTGGCGCGCTAGAGGTGAGCAGAAATTATCGACACTGAACTCCAGCATCGAGCGGACAGAGTGAGATCCCGTCTCAAAAAAAGAACAAGAAACCACCTACGCCTATAGGAATCCCTACTGTTGTCTCATACGTATGATGAAATTCTCAAAATAGATACACACAAGATGAGATACAGTAATAAACTTGCATATAGACGAGTAAGAGAACTCTACTCTGAGAGAAACAGAAACTAGGATTCCTAATGTTGCCCCAACTACGATAAAGTATAAATGAGAAGAACATATATACAAATACAAGAGCACAGTGTTCCTCGCAACAACATCTAGTAGCACATAAGAAAAAAAAAAAGAGACAAGTAGGTTAAGAAAAGGAGAAGATGATATTGGTGAAAGTTCTTCGAGTTTCTGATTACGCACTTTCCTCTCTCATACCGCCTCTCCTGCACCTCACAGATCATCTGTTGGCATCTGTGCATGACCAGAATACCCAAGTCAGCTCCAAGTGACATAAACCTAGAGCAGACTCCTGCATGCATTTGTGGAAGCTGACTGAGTTATCATGTTCTGGGAGAAGTATGTAATTCTTAATGACATCCTGTGCGGCACACGGCCATCCCCTGCCACTGTCTATCTCTTTCGACTTCAAGCGTTGGGGTCTGGACGGAATGGGAGGCGAATCGGTGGGTGGGGATTACTTGGTTTGGGACATGAGGTTCTTATTGTCTTATTTCCTTAGTAAAGAGCCATCAGCTACTTGTGACACACTAGAGAATGGTGCCAAGGAGTTTGCTTTCCCTGCATCTTGGAGGAGTTGCTGGGGATTTAAAGCCTATAGTCTAACCTCAGGACAACTCTAAGTCTCTTAGGATCTCTGGACAGAGTTGGGTCTCTGGAAGGACTGTAAAAATAATTTCTGTTTTACTTTTTCTTGATACATATCCTAGACTTGGGGAGCTGGGCAGAAGAATAAGTGATGGATTGAATGGGTAGAGGAGCTCAGTGGCAGCTAGTCGCTTTAATATGTCTTTCTGTCTCTCTTGCTCTTTTCTCGTTCTCTTTCTCTCCCTTTCTTTTGTCTCTTTATTTTGTGTCTCCATTCCAGGCTTCCCTCTGGACAAAGCTGTTGCTTACTCCAAGCTTCGAAACCCCTTTCTTATCAATGATCTGGCCATGCAGTATTACATCCAAGATAGGTATAACTTCCTGTTGACCAGTGAGATGGGCGGCTTTGGGATCATGCATGTTCAGGGAACCCACTCTGAGAAGGGCAGAGTCAAACAAACATGCCTAATTTTTGTACCATAATTTTGTGCCCTGGTGTCTTTTAATCCTGTGCAAATGAAATCCCCAGGCTCTCCCCTTAGTTACTCCCACCTCTCCCAGCTATTTTATTTGGGGGTGACAGGAGGGAGGTGTACCGGATCCTGCAGGAAGAGGGTATTGATCTGCCTCGATATGCTGTGCTCAACCGTGATCCTGCCCGGCCTGATGGTGAGTACCTGGCCTGAGGGAGGGTTAGTCCTGCCTTTCCTTGCTTTCTATGACTTAGCCACGTTTCCATCTTCTAGACATCTCCTATATACCACCTATCTATGTGGGGTTTTGGTTATTGGATTATGGGTGGGGTTAGAGCCATAAGTCTTCGGACAGAGTCTTGGACCTGTTATATAGAGATTTTACCTCATCTATTACAAAGATACGGTCATAAAAATTTGAGGGTTATAGAGATGAAAACCTGGGGAAATGAGAATTAGTAATATTCCATAACCATAGGCCATAGGAATGACCACACACCCACCTTTCAGAATGCAACCTGATAGAAGGTGAAGACCAAGTAGAGGTCAATGGAGCTGTCTTTCCCAAGCCCTTTGTGGAGAAGCCAGTGAGTGCAGAAGACCACAATGTTTACATCTACTACCCCAGCTCAGCTGGAGGAGGAAGCCAGCGTCTCTTTCGTAAGGTAGGGGAGACATTTGAGCATCTGGAGAGTCAGAGAGGTAAAAGGGCAAGGATGAGGTCGTGGGGAAGGAAGATGGAGAATTTGGGGACAGAAGAGAGAGTTGAGGCAACATTGTTTTTTCTTCTTTTTTTTTCTCTTGAAGATTGGCAGCCGAAGCAGTGTTTACTCTCCTGAGAGCAGCGTCCGAAAGACGGGGTCGTACATCTATGAGGAATTTATGCCAACAGATGGCACAGATGTCAAGGTTATGGTGGATACAGGGATCTAAGAGGTTACAGATGTCTGGGTGGGGATGGGGTACTTGGGAAGCAGGTGGAAGTATATGGGGAGGAGGTCCTAGAAAATAACATGATGTGAATGTGATTGGCTTTCATATTCAGGTGAAGTTAATGAGTGGAGGATTCAGACATTCACATTTTCACTATCAGAGCAAGGGCAAGGCTGACTTAGAAAAATGGTATAATGTTGGTAAATTATTGTTTAATAAGGACTGTCTGACAGTAGTGGAGTCCCGAGGAGAAATTCGTAATGATACTTGAGTAGGGCTCAGTAGGAAAAATGTTGGTCAGTCCCCTTAATGCTCAGGATTTGTTGGTTTTGTTTTTGTTGTTGTTGTTTTACTCTGAAACTAGTCTACAGACCTAGTGCTCATATTGTCTTCTCATATACAGGGTGAGCTGTGGGCATACTCAGTGATGCTATGTACCTGCAGGTGTATACAGTGGGGCCAGATTATGCCCATGCTGAAGCTAGAAAGTCTCCAGCTTTGGATGGGAAGGTTGAACGAGACAGTGAGGGGAAAGAGATTCGATATCCAGTCATGCTGACTGCCATGGAAAAGCTGGTGGCCAGGAAAGTCTGCGTAGCTTTCAAGGTAGAGGAGGGCCCAGGGAGGTTGTGAAATGAGGGAGAAAGGAAGGAACAGGGGTCCAGGAAGAGTAACTGTCTTGTTCTCATCTTTCTTCTTTTCCTTGCAGCAAACAGTTTGTGGGTTTGACCTTCTTCGTGCCAATGGTCATTCCTTTGTGTGTGATGTCAATGGTTTTAGTTTTGTCAAGAACTCGATGAAATACTATGATGACTGTGCCAAGATTCTGGGGTAAGAGACACAGTGGTCTGTGCTGGGGAAAATGGGCTTACGGAAGAATATTTGAAAGTTTTTGCTTTATTTTAAATATCATAAAGATGATTTAAAAGTGAAAAAGCAGGCCAGGTGCGGTGGCTCATGCCTGTAAATTCAGCACTTTGAGAGGCTGAGACAGGTGGGTCACCTGAGGTCAGGAGTTAGAGACCAGCCTGGCCAACATGGTGAAACCCTGTTTCTACTAAAGATACAAAATTAGCCAGGCATGGTGGTGCAGGCCTGTAATCCCAGCTACCAGGGAGGCTGTGGCAGGAGAATCACTTGAACGCAGGAGGTGAAGGTTGCAGTGAGCTGAGATCGTGCCATAGTACTCCAGCCTGGGCGACAAGAGCGAAACTCTGTCTCAATAAATAAATTAATTAATTAAATAAATAAAAATAAGAAAGAAAGAAGGGGCTCCTCAGGCTCCTTGCCTTTCTAACACTGCCCCTCCAGAGACCATTGTTGTTACAAGTTTTAGACATAACAATTTATCTTTTTCTGCCATATCCAAGCTGTATTTATTTTACTAAATGTGGTCATACTATAATACTGCTCTGCAACTTGACTTTCCAAGAAATTTGTCACATAATGTATAAACCATTTGAAAATATATAAGGAATGATGACTATAGTGAGCATCTATGTATTCACCACCTAGCTTATGAAATAAAATGTTAGGAATATAGGCCGGGCACGGTGGCTCACACCTGTAATCCCAGCACTTTGGGAGGCCGAGGCAGGTGGATCACCTGCCGTCAGGAGTTTGAGACCAGCCTGACCAACATGGTGAAACCTCATTTCTACTAAAAATACAAAAATTGGGCAGGCTCGGTGGCTTCCGCCTGTAATCCCAGCACTTTGGGAGGCCGAGGTGCGTGGATCACTTGAGGTCAGGACTGGTGAGACCAGCCTGGCCAACATGGTGAAACCCCGTCTCTACTAAAAATACACACACAAGAAAACTGGCCGGCATAATGGCGGGTACCGGTAATCCCAGCTACTTGGGAGGCTGAGACAGGAGAATCACTTGAACCCGGGAGGCGGAGATTGCAGCGAGGTGAGATCATGCCACTGCACTCCAGTCTGGGTGACAGGAGTGAGACTCCATCTCAAAACAAAACAAAACAAAAACAAAGAATTAGCCATGGTCAGGTGGGCCCCTGTCATCTCAGCTGCTCAGGAGGCTGAGGCAGTAGAATTGCTTGATCCCAGGAGGTGGAGATTGCAGTGAGCTGAGATCATGCCGTTGCACTCCAGCCTGGGCAACAAGAGCGAAACTCTGTCTCAAAAAAAAATATATATATATAGATATATACACATACACACACACATACATATATAGGTACACATATGTGTATATATGTATATATGTATGTATATATGTATATATACACATACATGTATAGATACATATGTGTAGACACACATATGTGTGTATGTATACATGTATGTGTATGTGTGTATATATATTTTTATATATATATATAATTGAAGCCCCTATATACTCCTCCCTGGTAACATCCCCTCCTCATCCCCAGAGGGAACCACAATCCATAATTTGGTGTTTTTCATTCCCATATATTTATTTATATTTTTACTGTCTATGTATGGGTATTTGTTTGTATGTTTTTAGACTTTATATCAACATATTCTTCTGCCTGCAGCCTGCTTGTTTTTGTGAGCTTCATTCATATGAGTAGTTCTGGCTTATTCGTTTTTACATGGCTTCTTTGTTTCTCTTTCTAGGAATACCATAATGCGGGAGCTTGCCCCACAGTTCCAGATTCCATGGTCCATCCCCACAGAGGCTGAGGACATTCCCATTGTTCCTACTACATCTGGCACTATGTAAGCAAAAGTAAAAGGTCTGGAGTAACCTACTTAAGACCCATGGGACTCCTTCAGCCAGGCTACTGGTTACTTCCTGACCCCACACTATCTGACTAACGGAGCCTGGGCCTCTTATACACAGTCTTCTTAACTCCACTTATAT